GAAGGGAAGGGAAGGGAAATAACAAACACAACCACATACAATGACCACCTAAAGAACAGAGCAGACACAGGCACTTAAATAGAAACTGCGAACCGACTAACAAGAGGGCAGGTGTGGAACATGACAAATAGCCAATCAATGAGGGCAAAAGGCAACAAGACACAGGTGAAGAAATTAACACTAATGAACACAGAACTAAGGAACTTGCAAGACCTGAAACTAAGGAAACACTGGCATATACTATACTAGGAGAAAATCAAGAGACAAGTAAAACAGAACATAACCAAGGCAGGGACAAAGAACCATAAACAAGACAAATTATGACACAGGGATAAATAATATCAAACTAAGGATAAACCAAAACAGGGAAGCAAAGGAAACACTAGGAAAAACAGAAAACCAATAAACAAACAAAACAGGGGAAGCTGGCTTCAAACCCACAACTGTAGAGATATAATCTCTATAACACACACTCAGTGCATTGCGCCATGCAGCAGTCCAAGGAGCAAGGGAACAAATAAGGGTTAGACAAGGAGTGAAAAGGCGGGATGGCCAGTGACACCTGCTGGCCAAACAGGGTAGAGACACGAAGGGTAGGGTTCTCCAGTTTTCCCTCCCACAGTCCAAAAACATGCCATGGTGAGTTGGAGTTGCCAAAATGTAAATGGTGTGAGTGTGCCCTGCCATGGGATGGCACCCCATCCTGGGTTATTCCCCACCTTGCACCCCCAGGATAGGCTCTGCACCACTGTGACCCTACGAAGGACAAGTGGGTATAGAAAATGAATGTTTGCACACACATATGACACAGTGCCAATACTTCTCTTTTTCCCTATTCCGTTTTATTTGCCCCATGAACATTCTGTCACCTGTCAAATAAGAACTGGACCTAAAACAAGGGCACCGTTAACCGGATCCTGCTGTGTCACTCGCGGTCACCTTGCCGTCTCACTGACAGGAGTCCAAGCTGTGTCTGGCCATGCGTGAGTGACTCAGAGGAATACAGGCGGCTTCCTGCCTGGGATCACGGTGCTGGGTTGTACGCACCACGGCTGACTCTGTGTAAATGCCAGCGTCAAAGAGAGGAACGCCGCTTAATGAGTACAATGCACGTTTCAGGAAAGGTGCCTCTTACAATGAAATTCAACTTGGAAACAGAACAAAGCCCCTCGTAAAAGGGATCTCAATCACAAAGATATTCTTGGCAGAGATGCAGAAAGATAAATTAAACCTATAAACCGACGAGAATAGGATTACATCGATTTCACTGGGAAAGTGTCACGGACAGAGGTGTGAAACTTGGAGACCGGGCTGCTTGTGCGATTAAACTGGATATATGTGGGTTCTGATATAATCCCAGAATGATCTATTTCAGTTTTAGTAGCTCGATATTAAACCGAGTAACATCGAGCTCTCTGCCAAATTTGGCTTTAACAGAGAGGGAGTCGTCGTCCTGGCTGTGTGTAATTTACGACAATGAGGCATGTAAATCTATCGCAGACGGGTCCTGAAAATCTTTTTATTTAATCTGGCACACTGCCTCGATTCCAGATCCGCTATCAGAGAGTTTCGGGGGGTCTGTTAACCGGCTCGCTGTGGAGTAGGGCTCTGAGTAAGCGCTCCAGGTTACTCAGCGATGCCGACCCACAGACGAGGCCCCGTCTTGCCCGTAACGAGGCCCAGACGTGGCTGGGGGCCCCGCGAAGTGGCCGGGCAGCATTTCCCAGCGGGCTGAAGATATTTCCAGCGAGTGCTGCAGACGGACAGAGTCACACAAGGCAGAGAATTACTGACGCCTCGAAGTCAGTCCCCTCTATGATAATTCAATCAAAGTTTCACCTCGTCTGAGTACTTCAGCGAGGACTTCAGATCTCCGCCAGCCTTCCTCTGCTTATGAACTGAAAGCCTGTGCTTTGATCATGTGGATGGATTTTTATTCCATTAGGGCTGTTGAATAAAAAATTTGATCTACCTCTCGCTCGCAACTCCTGTCAAGATGGACAAAAATGAATGCAGAACTCAGTGAGCGGGGTGAGCTTTCCCATAAAGACGTACGCCTGACCTGCTCTCTGAAAAGACTCATAAGCCACTTAATTGAATTTGTCTTTACTGAAGCTTCATTTCAATATTAAATGCAAAGAGCGTTAAGAGCCAAATACATTAACATTGTTTGTCAAGTGTTGCGCACATTTTAAGAACCGATCAATTCAGCCTGACTAGCTGCCATGATCATTTATCATCCCGGTATCTGACCCAGATTTTTTCATCGAATCAGTAAGTTTCCCCCTAAACTCTCTGATGGCTGCACAGCCCTCGTCCCTCCGGAAGCCGTCTCCTCTTAACTGTCCCTGGCATGCTGATCCACCAACCTCATTCCTGCTCCTTTTGAAGGTCTTGCGGGTTTCCACAGTCATAGCAGCCAGAAATATTTCTACTGCGGTTGTCTTGCTCTTTTGGAGATAAGTCAGGCCCTCCCAACACGCTTGACTTGGGGGGGGGGGGGGGAGATAGCGGAAATAACCAGTAATGGGTCAGGAAGCCACAACGATGGTAGCTGATGAGAGGGCTTCTAAAAAGCAAAAATGTGTGGGTTGTAACAGCTGCAGATCATGCCTGATTGGCGTAGGACACGCCAATCTGTCAGGGTGCCATCATCGGAAAACATTTCTACATCTAATCTCTGGTAATTCTTCCTCAGAGAAAAAGGAAACACAGACTCACTCATATCACTCAACATCTAAATAAGCTTTGGCTTTTAGGTTTTCGGCTGAGTTTTAACAGCGATGCTCGGTTAACTTGTGTTCGATGTTCCCTCCCTGTTAACAGAGATTCCCGTGGTGCCTCCCACGACGACTGCGAGCAGCACGGACGAGCCCACAGGTGAGTGAACTGACTGGATCAGAACCTCCCCCGAGGGACACCGTCATCTAATTGGATCAGAACTGGGAATACGAAAAGCAAATTATACACTCACTGGCTCGCAAGATTTAAATAAGTGTCGATGATTATCAACTCAAATGAGAATTTTCATGAAAAAAACCTTGCTTCATCTCGGCAAAAAATGTCAGGTTTTAAGAAGTGCCGCAGACAGGAGCAGATTACATCCTCCGCGGAGCCCAGCGGGCAGCAATGCTCAGATTAACTTGATTTAGTTGATCTTGCTGCAAACCGCGGATTTGACAGCACGCGCACGCGTCGCTCCCCTGCAGGGTTTATGCCGATGATTCTCATGCCATCTCAGATCTTTGGGGAAGGTGGGGGGGGAGGGCATCGTTTTATGGAGACGTATGGAGACTTTAAAAAGTGTGCAGTAAGAGATAATTAATTATACGCGTAATTATCAAAAAGATCCCACGGCAGAAGCTCATCCGTTCAGCTAAAATAAACCAAAACCATGAAATTGAACACTTTTGGCTGACAAATACTTTTAAGGCTGTTTTGTTGTGCCATTTCTCTCGTAAGATGATCATATGACTCCTAGATCTAACCAGTGAGGCTTACTGCACGTCTCCTAATGTTATTGAGATACCTATAGGTTGTTAAATATCCCCCCCCCCCATGCTGTCTGCATTCACAATTTCTTTATTAACCGGGCTCTATAGCCGAGTGTGTTTCTGATCATGCATGGGAGTTAGTTTACGTTGACAAACAATATGTGTCATTCCGGTGGTGGGGGGAGGGGGGCTTGTGTTGTGTTTACAGCCATGAAAAGCCAACAAACAAGCCCACAGCAAACACGGCACTGCCCTCGTCTCGCCAGGCATTGATTCGTCTTACTGGGATGCTAATTGGCGGGACGGCAGGCACTGACCTGCGGCGACAATGGGAGCTCGTCCAAACGCAAACTATTTAGGCACTGTATCAAATACAGAAAAGAACAATCAATTCTTATGCCATTGTAAAGTTACAGTTTAATCCAAGTACTGCACAGCTCCCCAGACAAGCTGGTTAAACAACTATATCGAAGCCGTCTTTTTGTTTTGAAGACAACTGAACATATTTCTTTATATGGGTCTCCATGTCATGTGCAGATACTTTCGTCCCTGTATGTAAATACACACCAGGCAGCAGAGCCGCAGCGGACAATCATAACACATCCGGGTGGGGGGGGGGTCGTTCACCGGGGGCTGCTCTTGTTTACATTTCGATATCGTTTTGGTTTATAATCCGCCTGCATAATCGTCGGCTGCTCCAGGCTCTGAAGGTTACATTTTCCCCACACGACTCCAGGAGCAGAACCGGCTTGTAAGCGGAGTGTGGCGGGTTGGGTCGTCGGACAGAGAGGTGCGACCCGGGAGTTGACAGACAGGGTTGCGGGGTGACGCGGGACTGGTCCGACCACCCAGGAGATGCACGCATTACCGTCTGCCGCCTCGGAAGGACACTGGCACGTGACCTCATCCCGCTCGTCATCGTGAGCAGATGTGGTGGTCTTATCGGGGCATCCAACCACCCCCCCTGCCCCCCACCAGGTCCGGTGGGCACCGCAATAAAGAAAGCAAGACGCGCTCCAGGAAAATAGCAGCGGCCCGCTACGGGTCATGTAGGGGGGGAGGCGGGTAGACAGATGTGAGGCAGGTGGCTCTTTAGCATGGGGGGTGCGTGTTAGTGGGGACGGAATTATCTCCTGTACGAGGCCCCATCACCACACAGAGGGCAGAATGTGCAGCCAAAACTGCAGACCAAACGTGCTCCAAACGTCACAGTCTGCAGGACAGCAGGCACATCACTGTGGGGGGGGGCGATGGCAGGAACGACCATGATGATGCGTGTCCCTGTCACAGAATTTCCCAGGCTGCCGGGCCGGATCAGTACCCCCCTCTTAGAGGCGCCCCAGGATTCAGTCTGGGAAACGGCCTTATTAATACGAGTCACCGTGGAAAAAAGTGTATCATCGCATTCCGGTCCCTTCCTTGTGATTTACCACTTGATGCCCCGAGGCCCAGTCTTTCTGGCGTGAGCCGGGCCTCTTGCTCCAAAACCGCGGTCCATCTACTGGAACCAGCCGGTCAGAACTTATTTGGTCTGGCATCTGGAGCCACGCCGCACCCGGGCTGGTTTTTACAGAGGTTTCAGACTCTCTCACCATTTCGGGAATAAAATCTGGCTTTATGGTTTTTTTTATCCCGAAAGGAAATCGGATCTCCCCGGAGACGTCTCCATCTCGCAGACCCCATTCCAGCACTTCCTGGCAGCGGCCGTAATCTAATTACCTGCTTTATTTGCCGAAATTTGTTTTGTGATCAATCTGACTGAGCATAAAACCCGCCCCCCTCCCCCAAGTCCCTGTTTATACGTTATTGCCTCAATATGCAGGTCTGTGTCTCTGTGCCACTGGCTTGCGTCAGACTGGTACAACAACTACCCTCACGATCTCCATCTCACCCCTTGGCCAATAAAACCGGCACTTCCTCTATCCCCCATCCAGTCTCAGGGGCCCCATGTCCCGGTTGGGGGGGGGGGGGGGCTCCATTCAGCCGATGTGACTCACGCGGGAAGACGCGCTCCGTCTTTGGGAAAGCAGGCCCTCTCGGGGTGCAGGAGGCCTGCTTTCAGCCGGCTCGTTGGGCAGACACAAAGGGGGCGCTTGTCCGCACCGCGGGAGACCGGCTTGCCGGGGCACGCCAGGGCCGCCGCCTCTGAGGGTGCGCTAATGGGAACCGGGAGATATCAAAGGGAAGAATCACGCCAGCGTCCGGCGGCCCGCGGATAAACAAGCTGCCCCCCCGGCACATTTAGATGGAAATCAGCCGTGGCTGATATGGACTCCCCTGTTTCATTTACACAAACACGCTCGCCGTGCGGCGCTGATTCGGGCTTTACCGAGAGTGCCCCCCTCCCCCTTGCGCCGGTGCATTCTCCCCCATTCCGCGGTTACCGCGGCAACCGCATTCACACACGGCATAATGGGAAATAAAAGGCAGGCATGGACACTGGGCCGCTCCACACAATGCAGTTTGTTCATATTCAGGCCGTCTGAAAGGTCCCTGCGCCTCTCCAACTGCCCCCCCCCCCCCCGCTCCCACCCCCACCGTCTCAAAAAAAAAAGGGCTCCCCCTCATTGCAATGTTCCGGGAGAGCCGAAGAAAGATATTCTGGATCCAATTTGTGTCAGTCGGGGAGAGGGTGAAGCGAAAGTTTGGCCCCTATCGCACATGGGTAGAGCCTTGGGTGCCCCACTAGACACACCTCTATGCACAGCAATGCATTATAAATGAACATACCCCCTGTCCCCACCCTGCCTGCCTCGGTAAACTGGTGATCTGGAACTGCCCCCCCAGCGCTGTGCTCTGAGACCACGGAGCAATTTGGCCGGTGTGAGGTATTTATTTGTTCAGCGCATAGGGCGGACACCAAAGTCCCCCGCCAACGCTTGACGGGCCACTAATTTCCTCCCTGACCTCCCTTTGTGCCACGCTGACCCCCATCCGCAGGATCCCCATGCAATAAATGCCAAAGGTTGACATGGCCCGGGGTCGGGGGTGGGGTGGGGGGGCGTCGGGGGTGGGGAGAGCTGACAAGGAGGGCTGTATAGGCCTTAATCAGTCCCACAGTGGCACTTTGACAGCAAGGGAGGGGGGCAGATTTTGTGTGTCTCTGAAAAGATCTGGGTGGCACAATAACCTCAGCCACAGCGGTCTCATTCTGGGGGGGGGCGACAGGCGGACAGCCGCGGAATTTACCGGGTGGGACTTTTGTGGCTTTTTGGTCTCTGTAACACGGCACAATTGGAGCCGGCCAGCGGGTTTCAGGCTGAGTAAAGGTATTGAAGAGGGGATTCCGAGGGGATTCCGAGGGAACTGCCCACCCCGTCACCGTCGTCTTAACAGAGCTTAATGTGTGCCTCTCTCTCTCCCCCGTCCCTGCACAGATTGTGATTCCTACTGCAAGGCGTCCAAAGGCAAGCTGAAGATCAGCATGAAGAAGTACTGCAAGAAAGATCATGGTAAGCTGGCGGAAGGCACACCTCCACAGCGCTCCGAGGCGTTTCCACAAAAACATGCGGGCGTTAAGCGGATCAGGCCGGGCTGGAGCGACGGCCAGGGGGCCTCCAGCTTCTCCAGAGGTCCTCATTACGGCAGCATTCCTGGGAGCTCCCAACACGAGGTGGGGGGGACCTTAGGAGGCATGTGAGCTTAGCTACCACCACCGGCGCCCTCTATAGGTGGGGCGTCAAAGGGCACTGTCCGCATAGGCGTATTTAAACTGTGGGTTTGGGGGCCATTGTCAGCTCCGTGTTTGCTGTACGGTGACGGGTCAAGGTGTCTCCAGGCCTTTCAGGGAGCGTTAACTCGGCCTTGGAGCTGCGGAGAACCCAGGGTATTGCAGCTTTCCGGGGGGGGGGGCAGACATCGCTGGTGCATCAAAATAGAAGGAAACTCAATGGACTAATTCATAATTCGAAGACTCCCGCTGTGCCCCCCCCTTCCCACACAACAGCCACGTGCCTTTTGTGCTGTTTACAATTGTCAGACCGTTAATACTTTCTCGGTAATATACGATCGTGCTTCAGCCGTCTATAGGCAGGCTATGGATCGCCCTGGATGGAGCGTCTCCTACCATCTGGCCTGCTTCCCGTGTTTATGCTCATTTCCCGTAAAAGGTGGGCGGGACACCCGGGAAGACCCTGGGATTCGGGAGGAGGCTGCAGGCGGTTTGTGGGATGGCTGGGCGTTAATGGGGCGGCGGGTCTCACGGCTGCCCGGGTCACAGCATGCCCACCTGCCCCCGGGGTGCTCCTCAGAGGGGCAGCTCCTGGGGTGTCCGGCACGAGTTGGTTCCCTGCCAAACACCACAGAGCTGTGACGCATTGGATTTCCTTTCCACCTTTCTTTTTTTTTTTGGGGGGGGGGGGAGGCGTTGTGCCTGGGACCCCAAGGCATCAGACAGGCCACAACAGGAGCCCCCACTGCTAGCTCTTACAATCCTCCTCAGTTACAAATTGCAGACAATTCCCTCCCCCACAGTGGGGCTCAGCGGGGGCCTGGTCTCTCTTCCCCAGGCCTCCATCCTACAAAGTTTGTTCCTAATCCACTTTTTCTCAGCCCAGCCATCATCGGGGGGCTTTGTGGCCATGAGGGACTCATGGGGGGGGGGGCAATGAGACATAGGTACAGCATTGAGGAAGTCGTTAGAAAACTCAGGAAGCAGGACCCAATAATTGTACTCTGCGATGAGCATGCAGGCCCAAACACGCTGTCTGCACGCTCCGGACTGCAGGACACTGGGACGGGGGGGGGCTGGGGGGGGGTGCTGGGACTGTGCCCAAACCCACATCCTGAGTGGCGTCAGGTCAAGTCCTGAGACAGATTTAGCAAGTTTTCCGCCAAATGCCTGCGAAGAAAAAGATAATAAACCTGGGTGGTGACTTCAGACCGTCAGCGGCTCCCGCGAGCAGCGGCTGTGCTCCATCGGACGCGGCTCTTTGGAGGGTCTGGCTGCTTCTCACACATGCCTGCGGTTTGATTTTGCTAAATATAATACTGTAAGAAGAATGAGAAGACGACTGCTGTAGAGGGCAAAGTATTACCACATTGTCCTGTCGAGGCGGAGCAAACGAGATGACCCCGAAAGGGGTTCGCTTACTCCTCAGCCAGACTCCTTCTCCTGCTGTATATCCTGCCCTCCGCATTAGACACATGCTAACAAAGAGCGCCTTCCAGTGGTGGCTGGATGGACCAGCGAGGCGGGGTGGGTTGTACGTAAAAAGGCAGGGAAACAGGCAGCTACTGAAAGATGCTCTTTACCTCTTGAAAATAATCACTCCGTGCCGGATCACGCGGCGTACGGCCCTCTGACCGCTTATGGTTCGCATTAGGAGGTTCCGCTTATAGGAAGTTTCCGGTGTCTTCTCTGAGCGGCTTGGAGACTGAGGTTTTGTGGCCTGTGCCTTCTGTGGCTAACTCTCCAGTGACAGCAGAAGTGGAGTGTCTAGATCAAGAGCAGCGGGTATTGGGGGGGCAGAGTGAGGAAAAGATGTTTTGTGGCTTCTGTGCAGAGTCTGACACGCCACAACCACAGTGGGGGGCAGGGAGGGTGCAGATGGCATGTTATTGGCTGCGCTGGAAAGTAGACACCCCCATCACCTCCGGACAGGGGGTGTCCTTCTTTATTTTCCCTCCCCCCAATCTCACCCCCTGACTCAGTATCAGCTAAACCATTAATCACGTGCCATTACAAAGAATCTCAAACGATTGTCCCCTCCCCCAAGTGACAAATTACACTACGCATCCCAGGATGATGAGCATGTTCCCAGCACTTCCAGTAGAGGACGCCGGCTCTCAGCTGGTGACTCCAGTTCCAGTCGCGCTCTCCCCCAGGTGGACGGCCTCTTCCCCCCCTGAGCGGGAAGTGTGTGTATAGAATCAGGTGGACTTCAAATTGAGCGCATTCAAAACAATGAAACATCATAAAAAAAAAATCTTCGAAATTTCTACAAAAAATAAAACGATGCATTATTTTCTACTGAACTGTTACACTTGCAGTTCTTCTTGACGATCAGGTATTTTTCCTGGTAAAAACAGGTTGCTTTTCACTCTCATTTCTGCCATGTTAATCACATTGTTAAAGAAAACACACTGTGACCAGTCTTTGCAATTCAAGAAAACTGAAAGTATGCCAGAGGTTTTGTAGATCTCGATGCAGTTTAGATATTAAATATCAAATTGTAACAATAACAAAAACTGATTTAATAAATACGTTTCCACTGGGGCTCTTGTGAGTAGTCTGGAAATCTCAGCTGAGGGCAGCTCATGGCCAATGGTGATGGTTCTGACTTCAACTCCATCGCCTTCCCATTCTGTCCAGGAGGCTCAAACAGATTACACATTTCCTCACAGCGAGAGGCAATTGTGAGTGCCCCCCCCCACCCCACCCCCCACAGGCTGGCTCATTTACCATTTCTGTCTGCCTCATTCAGTGATGCATCTTTGGCGGTGGGGGACGACACCCCCAGTTAATTCACCCTACATCTCAGTAGGCATGGCCCTCTGTTAACAAGCATGCAGGGTTGACCCCCCAACCCCCAAAACACAGATTCGAGGTCGTGATCTTGCCACCCGGTAGTGCCTGTGTGACACGGCAGTGGTGGGATGAATGCATTATGTGTCCATTCTCTGTCTGTGTGTGTTACTACAGTGATGGGGAGGGAGAGAAATATTCCCAGGCTGACACCCCTGGCAACAAACAATCAAAGGGAGTTCTCTCTGCCAGGATCTCATGCCCCTGTGGTCACCCAGGCAGAGTCTCTGGGCAGGAGTGTGGGCACGTGTGAGCGGGCCCCCTCCTCTGGGTAACGTGTAGGTCTGAGCGTCGCTAAAGCCCCACCCCAACACCCCCTCAGGATGGTCAGAGGGCTCTGACAGAGCGTATTGTACGCAGGGGCTGAAGAAGGTCCGTTCTTCTTCGTCAATGAGCCATTCATGGCCGGACCAGCCCACCTCCACCCACGAATGCCAACCTCGGCCCCTGCAGGAACGGGGACGTCCCCGCGATCGTGGGTGGCAGCCTCCAGGTCCCTGCTCTGTCAGTGTCGGGTGCTTGGTGGTCCTCCATGTGACATCACTCTGTGCGACTTTGTGTCACCTGAGCCCTAGTGGGCCACAAAGCCCTCTTGCCCTCCCCCATTTGGCCTGATACTGGGACGTAAACAAACCAGAAGGTTGGGAAGGCCGCTTTTGAAAGGATGAGCTCGTTAAGGAGGCCAAAACCCAGTGGGCAATGTGTGGCTCAGAGGGTTAGGATGCCATGTGACCAGAAGGTGATTGGTTTGAATCCCAGGGTCGGCAGACAAGTCAGCTTCAGGCAGCCCAAAGAAAGGGTAGTGTATGGCAGGTTATTGATAGACTACAGCTGCCCACTTTCTATCAGAGACTGGTACTGATTTGCTCAAACCTGTTCACCATGCAGCACTTCCGGAACACGCTGCTTCCTGTTCCTGGGGGGAAGCTCTTCCCATTGGGGAATTAGGGCACCCCGTGGTGCTTGGCTGCAGTCGCACATCCCCCTGAGCAGAGCTGGGCTGGCTTTGGGAGCGACTGTGAACACTCCAGTGAGGATGTGCGGCCCGAGCCACGGCTCCACACCGCTACCCTCCGTCTGTCGCCTTCTCTCCAATTTTCCGGCTGCCAGCCGGCCCATTCTGCTGCCAGGATCGATTACGTAAGCGCTGCCTAGAAAAGCCACCGCGTGACAGGACACAGGCTCCTGCTTCTGTTGTGGGAATCTGTAAGTCAGTCACTGGAGGGAGGCCGCAGTGACGCGAGCCTATGTAAGTCAGTCACTGGAGGGAGGCCGCAGTGACGGGAGCCTCTGTCAGTCAGTCACTGGAGGGAGGCCGCAGTGATGGGAGCCTCTGTAAGTCAGTCACTGGAGGGAGACCGCAGTGACGTGAGCCTCCGGTGATAAGTGAAAAGCACGGGAAAGTCGCGAACAAGCGTTACCTGCGGACAGCGCACCGCTGAGACATCAGCAGAAGCCGATGCTGTCACTTAGTGCTGATACCCGACAGACTGAACACACTCTGAGGGAAGACAGCTGACTTTGCTGCGTCTCAGCTCCAGGGTAGCATGTCTGGCAGCTCGCCGCATGTGTAAATCACGGAGGCGGCCGCAGTCTCGCATTTATACCACGTTTCTCCGCAGGTTTTACTGCTCCCAACAATGGGTTGTTTTTCCTTCGAAGTCTGTAGATTCTTTCGTGAAATGTTTCACCATTTCCTCTAATTTGCTATGAAAATAAAGGAATTCAATCCCGGGGCCGTTCCTTTTGTCTGAAACCTTTTTTTTTCCCCCTCCTCTCTCTCTTTTTTTTTTAAAAACTCGCTGGTCTGGAGAAGGAAACCAGTTGTCAGGGAAACATCCAGCGTGGAGTGTTTCAGTTCACAGGGAGGTGTGCTTTTCAAATGTACATAACGGGCAACCATTCTTCTGTCTGAAGAAACACTATGGCAACTGTTGCCGTGAAAACGAATGTGCGGGACGGAACAACAAGGGAGGGCAAAGGTCAGGTCAGGAGGAATGAATGGGAGGAGTGATATTGGCCAAGCAAGTCAGCAGTTTGGACGGATTCATACATAAGGGACAATACTGTTTTCTTATTATTTTGCTAAATTATTATTTTGTATCTTGGTGACAAATGGCTGTAATGTAACATTTTACACTTTTTTAACAGGAGTATCTGATGTCAGAAAGTTAATAGATTCCCTGAGAGGGTCTGCAGTCCCCATAGTTATGACAGAACCGTCAATAAAACAGGCGTTCAGAAGGTCGCTGGTTCGAATCCTGTCCTTGGCAGAATAGTCACATTTCCGTTGGGCCAATGAACAAGGCCCTAAACTCCCTGAAATGCGCCAAGGGGCGCAGATAAATGGCTGACCCTGCTATTGGGTCCCAGGCTTTGCTGTATAGTGGTGTGTTTGTGTGTCTGGGATATGTAAGAAGAAGCATTCCTCTGTACCGGTACGCATGGAAAACGAAGCATGAATTCATCATTTTGTGAACGTGTATGAAATGGACACATGTACCTTCTGTCCCCACAGCTCTCCAGGTGCACATCCTGAAGGCAGACAAGGCTGGCGAGTGGTGGAAGTTCACGGTGAACGTCATCTCCGTCTACAAGCAAGGGCAGAGCCGCATCCGACGCGGGGACCAGCTCCTCTGGGTCAGGGCCAAGGACGTGGCCTGCAAGTGTCCCAAGATCAAGCCTGGGAAGAAGTACCTGCTGCTGGGGAACAATGACTCGTCCCCAGACCCGAGCGGCGTGGTGGCAGACAAGGCCAGCCTGGTCATCCAATGGCGGGACATGTGGGCCCGGCGACTGAGAAAGTTCCAGCAGCGTGAGAAGAAGGGCAAATGCAAGAAGGCCTAGAGCGACGGGGGGGGGGTCAGGTGACTGCAGGAGGGGGGAGGGGGGAGATGGGGGGACCAGGAGGGGTGGAGTTGCTTTCAATAGAAGCATGACGAGAAAACTAGGATGATTTTTCTTTTAGGAACTTTCGTGAAGGAACTCACTTTGCAGTTTTCTATTTTTCCCTCAAGCAATTTTTGTTTTTCGTGATTTGCCAAGTTTGCACCTAATTTCTTCAGTGCATAAAGTCATTTTTGCATTTTTATCCATGGTAGGTCCGCAAAATGTTCAGTCCATCTTCACCAAACGTAACGCTTAGGTACAATAACAAAAAAAAAAAACAAAACCTGTATCGGATTCCTGTTCAGTCACATGTCCTTAGTCCATACAGCATCCGCTTTGGTGGGAGGGCAATGCAAGCTGATGCTGATGCTGCTCTTATCTTGGAGGTCATTCCTGTGGGTGTGAGGCTGCATCACAGGCAAAGAGAAACTGTGAGCATCAAGGGAAACATTAACACTTTAGATGTAGAATAAAACATCTTTCAGTATGGTGTATGCACACACTCCTAATGTAAAATAGCATTCGGCACGTGGGAGGTGTTGTTGGACGGCACCCAGAACCAGTAGAAAGTTTAATGCGTTCTTTTTTATACTTGTGAAAATTCTTATTCACGTGGACAGTACCTCATATATGACAATTCCCTCTGTGCTGTTTTAAAAACTGCTAAGAAGCTGCATGTTCTGGGTAAATCGATCGCTAACCCTGGTTTACGTGGGGGAAAGGGAGGATGAGAACGTAAATGTAGAAAAAAAAAAGTAAAAAAAAAAAAACAATGTTCTGAAATCCACATAACTTAAGATTATTTCGAGTGTGTTTCTCTAGGACAGAGGACGCTTTAGTTAGAAATACATTATATTCATTGCCTGCAGGGGGAAAAGTACGTTCGTATTCTCACTATTCTGCAATGGATGTCCGTGCGGTCTTCTAACGCTCCGTCGTCGGTTTACAATAGCATGAAAAGTTGTTTCCGGGGAGTCTCGTTCTCCTTACTTACCCTATACTGGTGCTGTTGTTTCGTATTTATTGCACAAACACTGAGAGGCAAACACACATAAAATAACTACAATAATAAGATGATTCCACCCGGTGATCTCTGGATATCACAGGCGCTTCTTAAAGCGCAGCATTTATTTTGCTTCCCCCCCCACCACATCGGCTTGTAAGGCGGTTTTATTTACTTTAGTGTCGTCCATCACCGATTCGGCTCACTGTAGGTTAATTTTCGCGATCGGGGAGGGGGATTGGTGGAATTTGATCGTCGGTTGTCTATTAAAAAAAAAGGGGGGGGGGGCACTCCCAGCCCCCACCGCACGTGCCTGTTTTGGCCAGGATGGGGGGGCTGTGGTACACGTGGGTGTCAGTGTCTCAGAAATCATACATACAAATACATCACGTGAAAAAGGACATTCTAACCCAAATTCAGATATGTCAAAACATGTTATATGTAAATCAAACTAAGGAGTAGGCCTAATTAAAATAGCAGCCTAATAATCGAAAGATGTAGGCTATTAATATTGCCCGATGCGGATTGTTTTAACTGTATTTGCTAAGGTGAATACGCCACATCACACTGCTTTCCACACATTTTTTTTCCATTTGGTCTTGCCTCTGTAAAACTGTACTGGCTTCTGGCGCGCCGCCTTCAGCGTCCCGGCGGCAGAAACAACAAAAGCCATATAGGCTGTTTTGAAAACGATGAAGAAAATGAAAACTTCGGATGTTTCTCTAACTCTGAGGACACTGTTGGTCTGGCAGCCAAACCTGAGACGGACTGAAAGATTTAATCGAAAAAGAAAGGAAAAAATGCACATTCGCCTGAAGCACCAGCGAAACCAGTGACGGAGCAAACGGAGAAAGCCTCTTTACTGCATAAGGCGCCCAGCTGGGAAAATGTATGTGTAAATTTTGAACAGAAGTGCAGCATTTCTGAAAACTGACATTAAAAATCTATCAACAGAAAAAAATAAATATTTGTATTAAACATGACAGTTTTGCTTCGCTGCTTTACCAATTAGGATTTTCTGTATTTATATTCTCCTAAAACAGGCAAAAACCCAAAATAATAAGGATCCATGGAAGGTTTGCAAATCAGTGATATTTATCTGTATAGTTAGAATTATATGTACATGGGTAGATAGATTATAACGACATAAGACTAACCCCGCATCAAAGCAGACCAATAACAACGAGACAAAATAGAAAATACGATTCCATCAAAATTACGTTAAAAATCCATCTTTCAGAAGTGAAAAGAGTCTTGTGAGATCACAGGCACGCACACAGAGGAACTTACACTTATCTGAGTCACCAGAACCAAAGCAACTTCCACGTATAGCTACGACAGTTACACCTAAAGTTAAAACGAACCAAGTTAAATGAGCCAGTCTTTTATATAGGCCTATATGTATATACACACGCAGCTTATATACGAAAATATAGACCCCAGATAGACAAATCCCCATACAGACCTCACGAGTCAGGGCTACGCTTCTCCCACGTGACAAAGGAGCCGATTCGTCAGTGGTGATTCCCATACACAGGGCTTCCCCCATGACGTGACAGTAGGCCTAAGACAGATATAGGATAGTGGCAGATACCCAGTCTCACGGAAGGCCAGAAAAATAAAGCTGTGGGGCACGTTTCCAGGGATAGGGCACCGGGGAAGGTCTGAAAATGTTACATTTGTAACAATTCTTCTTGTATTAATTGTATAGTCTATTATAATGAACTGCATCGTACAGGTAGTATCTTCTCACAAAACCGAATGTATATATATATATATTGCATATGCATATATTTAAATACATTTTATCGTCCTGCAGCATAATACACAATATCACATTTAACTGTATCCATGTCTGACAACACATATATAAATTAACTTTAAAACGTAATGTCCAGTAGTCCCAGAATGTAAACCCCCCCCGCAAAAAAACTGTTTCCCTGCATTAAATCTTGAGCTGATTTTTTCAGCTTCTGTTCATACTATGAATTGTAAATGTTGTGTAGCTGTGCCCATTGCGGCTTTGCAATGTTGTTTTACGATGCATACTAATATATTATCGTTATTATATATGAATATATTTAATGACATGAAACACTGTGGATTCTGTCATCTTTTTCAACCCATGAGTGACCGTTAGATGGTTATTGTGAGTTAAACCCAGAAGGAAAAAAATAACCAGCGAACCACTGACCTAGTAGAGCTAAATCGAGATTTTATCGGAAATATACTTATAGTGCGATGCCTTTCCGCACCTGCGTCGGGTGCCGGACGCTTTTTAAGGAGCTTCGCTGGTTATCGGCTTCCTTCCGGGAGCTAAGCAATGCAGCAAAGCACGGCACCAAAGTTCCCAGCGGCAGTAACTAATAAAAAGGACGGGGCAGAATGTAGCACATCGCCTAAGGCTTGCACGACATCTCCAGCTCAGACAGAACATGCTAACGTAACGAAGCGCGGCCTCTGAAGTTAATCATTACACCGAAAAGTCAATCTGCAAAAACATTTTTTTTTTTGCCTTTATTTAAATTTTCGACGTTCTCATATTGCGATATGCAGAGCAGCTTACAGTCGGTGTCATTTATTACAAATTACAGTTAAGATAATTTAACACGAAGGAAACAGGTATATTAGTAACACATAATCGTTATTTCCTTTGCTTCAATTGATTTTATAAGCATGACATTCTAGGAGAGATTACATACAGGCATCGAGAGTAAATATGAATGAATATTGCTAAATCACTTAAATTATTATTACTGACAAGTAATTTGCACCAGGCGGTCTAAGTCGTTGGTTGGTGTTGGGCTACTAAGTTGTTAGCAGCCCAGCAAGACCCCCCCCGGTGCATTAATTGCGACGCTGATGCTGGACTGCAGTGGCGTTTTTGAGATAAACAGTTCTTGGAAACGTGGGAGGTCAGCAGCTCATTCCCGCTTTCCGCTCCGGAACGATCCGAATCTGCTTTTTATCCAGCCTTTCTGAAAATGCTACCTCACATTCATATTGAAAATGGGAAAAGAGAATTTAAGAAAACGGGATGAGGAGCATATTACGGGGATAAGATAGTGTGTGTGTGCAGGGGGATAGGGCGTCTGCTTCCCCGTCCTCCTGCCGCAGTGCCAGTGACGCTCGCGTGAGGAGACCTTCCATGCTGCCGCTGAGCCGTGGGGTCAGTTCCCGTTAGCTGGTGGGCCACACTGCTACCACCACAATGGCGATCAGGAGCAGGACGATGACCACTAGCATTCCTGAGAGGAGACAAGACCAAACAGACGGGGGGGTTATGGGAGCGCAGCTGGATTTGGCCGGACCGCAGTTACGCAACACCCCAATTGCCGGGACGACCGCTGCCGAGCCCCGTTTCCCACGCAGTTGAGGGTAGCTGCGTTCGTTTAACTTTGGGCGCAGAGGCAGCACGTTGGCGTCCTGACCATCAACTGCAACAACGCCGTCTAAAAGCTTGGGGTGACAGGCCCTTTTTTTTTTTTTTTTAAAGTGCCGTCCCTTTAGTGCATGAGGGTTAAGAGCGCTTTCTGGAAGCTTCTCGGCATCGTATCCCACAAACTATCTTCTATGTTCACAAGGGTTCGTAAGAGGACTGTGCTGAAAGAAAAAACGCAGTTACATGCATCGCAGCCAATTGCGTTTATAATGGCATTGAAGGCGAGATTACCACATGGCTAGCCTAGCCAATGGGAATAAAAAAAAACAAAATGATGTCATCATTCCAGCATGATCAAGTATTCCTCTTTCATGAACACGTTTCTTTGTATGCTGGAAATAAAAAAAGGTGCATATTACAATATATTGTCAAAATCCCATTATTCTCACGATTATGACTTTTTTTTTTTCCATCCAAACCAAAATGCGAAAGGCCACTGGCCATTTGGGAGAACTGTGTTATAACAGATGTGCCGTATTAATAAGAAAGCAAGGCCGTCTATAAGATTTCCCTGCC